ATCCAGACCTTACACCCTATAATTTTAATGTTGAACTTCTTCCAAAACCCTACAAAATCACTGCTGGTCTCATTAATGAAGTAACCTTTTCGAAGAAGCATCAAAAAAAACGAGAACAACGACAAAAGCGAGGTATAGATAAGGAGGTTCAACAGAAGAAACAAGCAAAAGAAAACCGGGAGTGAGAAATTCGGACTAAAAGGGTTTATGGCAAAATATGTGCACAAGAACGGAGACACATTCGTGCCCATATTCAACTTCCTTCAAATTCACCAAAACCTACACTGATCCAATGCATCAGGCATTAGCAAGGGATTAATAATCGTATAAAAGGGCATTCTAAACGAGGAATGAAAAAAATTCGAGCTCAACACAGGAACTATGGAAATGTAGCAATTGTAAACGAGTTCAATACTTCGAAGATTTGCCCATATTGCTTTTCCAAAGTTGTTCTTCATCACGCCTGCAGGAACATTAACGGAAAAGAGCGGACTGTTCGCCTCCATGGTGCAGTAGAATGCGTTCATCCTCGGTGCCCGGCAAGGAAGTTAAATTACACAACACGAGGAAGGGACGCTAATGCATCTGCAAACATCGCTCTATCTGGAGCATCGATTATTCTAGCTGCTGACCGTCGGCCCCTTCCTCCGTTTCGTCGTAATTCATCTAATCAAACAAGGTACAACCTTGTAAAAGAACTTTCTTTAGTTGCAACACCAGAATTGGTTCCTCGTGACTTCATTCGTGATGAATGAATATGGTAAGATTTGAAATTTTTTTTTAGTTTTCTGACTGTTTTATTCCATATGCTCACTTTGTCTGGTTTTGTTGCAACATGCCCCATATGATCTAACTACATACCCGCCGATACATATGATAATCGTGAAAACTCTTCTCGCTTCCAACCAATAGAAGCTGGGCTAATTATATGACAGCGTCACTTAATTTCAATGACGTATTACTGCGCATGTCATATTCTGCGGTGAGTTCGGAAAAAAGAAACAGGCTCGGCAAGATTTTTTCCCGATATCGTACTGCGCATTTTACCAGAATTGTGTGCAAAAATAAAATCGTAAATCCGTCCTTTGGTCTTTTTCATATCCAACTTTTCTTTGATCATAATTTCATCTACACTTTTATCCAGTCCTATAATAAAATACTCCAGCACAAAATTTCCACTTGATTAGCCTTTATTGCTTCATTTCCCGCAATACACACATTTTCATATAAGCGGTTTATATTTTGCAATACTTCTGAATTTGATAGCTCTGCTACCTTTTCTTGACAATTATTTTCTTCACCGAAATTTCCGTCATGTGATTTTACTCAGATTCATCCATGGTAAAATCAAATAGTACATCCTGCACGATATTTACCGCTTCTTTCTTCTTATGTGATCGAGATTTTTTTGGTCCCAAGGATTTTTTACAGTAATAGTGTCCAAAGATTCAAAAACTTCAGAAATTGATTCTTCTGGCGATATCAGTGGAGTAGATGGTGGGACGGTTACTGTATTATTTGATAATTTCGATTCACCTAGTAATCTTTTCTGCATCATGTAATAACCTGGAAGTAAGTCATGGATAGGTAGCTGATTCACGCAGAAGTTTCTTCTCCTTGTTGCGTTGCCTTAACTCATCACTAACGTTTATTTCACCGAAGTGACAAATGATCCTGTTGATGAAACGTTTTCTGATTTGTCGGTGGAATGATTGTCTGTAAAGTAATTTATAAATTCTTACTATGCTCAAATTAAGACATTGATTTTAAGTTCAGGAGCCAACATATGATTTTAAACTTGACCATTTTTTTTTCTTTTTCTTTTTATTGTTTATCCCGAAAACTTATAAGCAATATAATGATTTAAAATGAAGTAGATTTCCAATCCACCTTTTCACATGGGTCCTTCACATGCACGAAGACATATCTTTTTTTTTAAAAAAAAAAAACAGCAATAAGGAAAAAAATTACGAATAAAGTAAAAAGGAAATAATTAAGAGATCAATCAAACTTCTCTTTGCTTATAAAAAGGCTGTGATTTTGCTTGCTCTGAGGTAACAAATCATCAATACAAAAAAATATATATTTAAAAAGAAAAAAATTTTTTATTACAATCATCATGAAATTTTCTGGAATTCTTCTATTAGTCGTCCTCTCCACGGTAAATGCTTTACCACATCCTGGATATCCAATTGCTGAATCATACCCAATTGCATCATATCCAATTGCCGAAAGATCCGAAAGTAATCCTGAATCATACCCAATTGCCGAAAGATCCGATTGCCGATACCCTGACTCGAATACGAAACAAACTGCATCATATCCAATTGCCGAAAGGACCTGTTAATACTCTATTTTAACTAGTTAATATTTTAATTATTTTAATATTTAATATTTTATTATTCATTCATTAGTATTTTTAATGATACACATGTAAAACAATATAATTAATAAATTTTACTTTTATTTTGTGTTTATACATTAAAAAATTACAGAATATTAATATTAATTATTGTAGTTATATATCTCCATAATTTAACTTTTGTTTTGTATAAGGTTTTCCGCTTGAAAATAGTATATTCGAATATTTGTTTGTAAATAAATAATATTTGATATCGAAAATGATTTGGATATGAAATGAATCGGATATCGAAATTGATTCGGATATCGAAATTGATTTCGAATATCGGTTTTCGAATATCTCAATTCGATCGATCTTATCGATCGTTATTTATTTTTTTTTTAGTATTTCCTTTTTTTTTCGATATACATATATTTTTCTTCGATCGATTCTTTTTTATTTTATTTTTTATTTTTATTTTTATTTTCTTTCTTTTTTTTTTGTATTCATCTTTTCTTTTTTTGCATTTTTAATTTTTTAAATTTTTTTTTTATTATTTTTCGGAAATTATGAAAGATATAATAGACTAGGAAACGGGAACCCGGACAATAATGGCAATGGATCACATGAGAAATTACTATTTTACGTGCGTGAAGAAAAAAAAATTTTAATAAATATTCGGATGTGTTAAATCTAATAGTTAAATAATATATGCTTGGGCAAGAACAAATAACATTACAAATCGATATTTAGACATACTAATTTATGGCATGAATTTGCGATTGCATATAGGCCTTTATCATTTTTTTGGTCGAGCCAGTAGATTATTGCACAAAAGCAGATAAATTGATACTTCAAAGTTGGGTATGATCAGTAAAATCTGTACTTTTTTTGAACTCTAAATGAATTAATTATATTTGGGAATGTATGCACAATGTCTTTGAATTTTTTTATTTGAAAGTGAATGATAGTGTGATTTAAGATGAGTTAGTTTCAAGCTATAAATTGGTTTTCATCCTCCCCCACGTGCTAATTTTATAAATCTTTCCAGTTGAGATTGGTCTTCTACTCCATTTCCCTTAACTCGATGCGTCTTCATAGAATAGGAGCACAGCATTTGTACCACAGGATAAAGTGATTTTGTTTATTGCATTTCCAAGAAATATAAAATCGCCTCTAATAGTTAATTAAAAATGTTTGAATGTGCCATGAATAGTGCATATTATGTGCTACATCTTCAAAAAAACAAATTCGATTATTGCTTCAGGGTCGTTGATTAATGCTCTGAGTCTACCCGGGACTAGTGATCATTGCTTTGGACTAACATTAATCGGACTTATTGGAAAACTTGCTAGCCTTCCTCTTTTTAGATAGCATTCAGCTACCTGAGCGGTCCCTTGAGACCCGCCCCTCCTCTACCCAAACATCAGATTCTTTGGATGAACTGGACTTGGAAGCATGTTCTCTGCAATATTCCTTGCTCCAGCGCCTTTGGGTAGAAAATATGTGTCTACATGATTGTCTAAATCATTTCTTAATACGTCAATGAATTTTTTTTTCATATAATATAAACTTTTAAAATAAATTACATATGGGAGGTGGTCAGTAGAAAAGGGGGAAATCCACAAACTAGCTTAATAACTAAAATTACTCAAAATTTGTAGATTTCCCCCTTTTATTATTTATATTAAATTATTTTTTTTCATTGTGTAATTAATGTATAAATTTAAATGAACTTTATTTATTTTGTAATCTTCAGTATCCTCAATACTTTTTTCATTCTCATTGACCTTTTATAAATTGTTACATATCCATTTTTATTATGAAAAATCCTACTTGTCACATTATTTGTCACATGTATAATTTCGGCTAAGTTCAGTCATCCCAGCGACGAACACAGCGTCGCCCGTAAACGGATTTTATTTGCCGGATATTTATTATTAAAGTTAGGTTAGGATTTGGGTAGAATTAGGATTAGTTTAAAGGGGGTCACATCGCGTCACATCCCAGCCGTTCTTCAATTTACTAAGTATTCTAAATTTTTGTTGAGAAAAATGCTAATTGTCACTATTATATGTCACCCAATAAGTATATGTGACCCGACAAATAAATCCGGCTACCATTTTTACGGGAGACGCTGGGACGGTCTCTTACGGGCATCCTTAAAATGTTCCCTGGGTTCGGGCTTTTGTCCTGAACTTATCACGTGATTAGTACTTTAAAAGTTTTATTTATACATTGGGTCTAGGATAATGACTTAAACCCGTAGTCTATATGATCAATTATTATGATTCACGGCTTTTTTTTTATTCAAAAAAGGTTTTACATGTTTTACTATATTATAATATTATCGGATTTAGACACATTTAATAAATAAATATAGTACTCAGGTAAAAGTTCGAATTTGTGATAATAGTGATCTAGGCAAGGTCAATTGACAATCCGTTGGATTTCAAACAACATAATTCAGAATGTTTATAAAACTTCTAGTTCTTTGCTTTTATTGGCAATTGATTGATTCAATTTGATAATAAAACCTTTTTACAAAAAAATAAATAAATTTTCTAAAACATTTCTTACACGAATAGTTGGCACGCGGATTAATGCAAAACTTTTCGACTTACTATAAAAAGAAGGAATAGAAAGAATTTATGTATGAAATTAAACTCGCGAATAATGATTGAATCGACCTAAAAAATTTAATTTTTTTATTTGTCTAGAATATTAAGTATTTAACCTCGAAATGCAAAGAATTAAAATTATACGTAACTATATTTTTCGCAATATGAATGATTTTTTTTTAAAAATAATTATTGTATTATAAATCGCAACTTTAACGGCATTTATCATCATTTTTTTATTTCGGTACAGCCTTTCGTTTTCAAGGTTTTTTTTTATCAGCATGTGTCCAATGATAATTAGTCAAATATTATTATTAAAGAGAAGCTTATTAGATTTTTTTATTTCCAATTGACGTCGTTTTTTTTTCTTTCACATGTTTTGTCAAGTTATTCACAACCACGAATATAATAAATTAGATCATTAAGCGTTAGAGGTTTATAAAATTAACACGTGATCCAATCGTGAATTAGCAAGCAAAATTTCATGATTTGTGATTATATAAATAATAAGTCGAAAACACTCTTTGTTTCAACTTTCATATAATGAATAAAAATAATGAAATGTGAATGAATTTATAGTATGAAGGATAAATAAGAAATCTTTACCATCTGTTCAATTCCTTTAAAATTTTGAAATATTCTTTACACTTTCTCTTAAAAACCTTCTCAGAATTTTACCAGAGGGACTTTTAGGAATTTGATCAGTAATATAAACGCCACCACGTAATTTTTTATGATTAGAAACTCTTTGAGAGACAAATTCTTTAATTTCTTCCTTTATCTCATCAGATTGATTTATATCTTTTTGTAATACTACGAACGCTGTCGGATATTCTGTTGCGCTTTCATCAGAATATACTCCGATTACCGCAGCATCATCAATAGATGGATGAGTAAGCAAAATTGATTCAAGTTCGGCTGGAGCTACTTGGAATCCCTATGTCAAAAAAAATATATATATATATATATATTTATTTATTAAATTTTTAAAATATTTATATAATTTGTATTTTACCTTGTACTTAATTAATTCTTTAACGCGATCGACAATGAAAAAATTTTCTAGAAACGAATTTTCTAATATTAATTTTTTTTTTTTTTACGATGAGCGAAATATGAATGAATAAATTAATTACATACCTTGAGAGTCAGCGTATACTTCATCCCCTGTACGAAACCAACCATCGCTATCAATACACATGTCCGTAGCTTTCTTATTATTAAGATACCCCTGTTAAATAACCAATTTAATTGATTGATTTATTAACATAATTTTTTTGAGTAATATAAATAAATTATTTTACCTTCATAACATTTGGTCCACGGACGTATAATTCGCCAAGTTCATTACATCCGAGTTCTATTGATAAAATCTCTTTTTTTAATTTTTGTCCAATTTAAACTTACAGGAATAAAAAAGGTAATTGATTACCTTGACCATTCTCCGAAATTATTTTACATTCAATATTTGGAAGAAGAATTCCAATCGAGCCTACGAAAAAAAAAATTAACAATTTTATGGATGCACAAAATTAAATTCACATGACATCGTTCACTTTACCTTGGATAATGTTATCAGTCTCCCCCAAATGTGTAATTGGAGATGTCTCTGTTAAACCTAAAAAGAAACAAATAAAATAAAAAATTAGGTATAATGTCAATAATAAAAAAATTCTTCCTATCAATGCATACCGTAAGCTTGTTTGATTGGAATTTTGTGAATTTTAAAAAAATCATTAGTTAATTCTTTGCTTAAAGGAGCGGCAGCGGATATAAGTAATCGTAAACTTGATAGATCATATTTTCTTGCAATGGGGCTTTTAACCAAAAGCAAAATGACAGGAGGTACAACTGGTACCAAATTTACTTTATAATCTTGAATCGCACGACAAAATATTTCTAATTCGAACTTGGGAAGAATAACACACGAAGCTCCCTTTTATACAAAAAAAAAAAAAAAAAACACGACGTGCGGAGATGAATGAGTTTGTATTAGATTTACCGGTATAACATTCGCAACCTTATTATTGATATATACCTTAAGAATAATAAGGTGTAAAAGGAAGACTTTTCCGTATATATGGAAGAAAGGCTAAAATTAATGTATTCGCGTAATTTAATACATGGTTCTTTTTTTTTTAATCAACTTATATTTATTAGAACTTACGAGAAATCCAATGGAAGAAGTTTCATGAGTAAATCCCTTTTCGAAAGCAGATAATTGAGCTAAATTTGATACCATATTATAATGAGTAGTTTCAACTCCTTTATTCTTTCCTGTAGTACCGGAACTGTAACATAAAAAGGCAGTCGTTGACTTTGCTTCTTCTGGGGTGTATTCTATTGGATTAATTTCTTTTTCCGAAAATAAAGATGAGAAAGGTCGAATTCCATCAATTTCTTCTTCACCAAACAAAAATATTTTGGATTTTGGAATATTTGCTGCGGATGCGGCTTCAATCAAATTTGAAAGAAATGAAGGATTAACTATAATGACGGATGCACCAGAATCTTTTAATTGATAGGTGCATTCATCAACCGTATATAATGGATTAATCGGGGACACTTTTCCTCCTATAAAAAGGAAGCAATTTTATTTTACTATGAATTTATCGTTGGGTGAAACAAAAATTTCAAACAACTTGCCAGCCGCAATTGCACCATATACCACGGTCGGATAATCAAGCTAAATAAAGTATAAAAACTTTAGCAATGTACAGTACAATGTAACTTTACTAGATTTACTTATGCAGCTACGGATAACTCTTACGTGGTTAGTAGAGAATATGGCCAAAACATCTCCACGTTTAAATCCAACTTTATTAACCAAACCAGCCGCTAATCTCTTTGTATCTCTTTTAAATTCACCAAACGATAATTTTTTATTCGTCATAGCATCAATAAAGATGTGTTTGTCATCATCAATTCCACTAGGATTACTTGTAGCATATTGATAAACCCCGATTTTTGGAATTTCAATATCAGGAAAACGAGATTTGAAAATCATTATTAAAGACTTTATGATTTAGTAAAAATTTTTTTATTTTTTTTTTATTTTTTTTAAGAAAATCAAGAAGACGTTAATTTATTAAAAAAAAAATTTGGATTTTTAAATGAAATCCAAAATTGTTCATTTTAAATAAACGAAGAAAATTGATTAATCCAATTAAGTTATCTTCAATGAAAAATTTTTTTGATTCAAAGATTATCAATTTATGTAAAGCAAAAATTCCCATACTTGTGTTTTTTGATTTCTCGTGATTAAGAAAGGATGAGATTTTCGGTAATTAACCTGGTTTAAATATGTAGTTCTTAGATATTACGATAAATTCCGACCAAAATTAAAAAATTTTTTTTTTGTGAAACCAGAATAAAACTGTTCTAGATGTCTATGTTGCAATAACTGTAATACAACTATTCCTAATTATTTATTATCATAGAGAAGAAAACAGACCCCTACATTTTTCCTATTCGGGTCTTTGTAAACAGTAATACAAGTCTGATGATATAATTTTTTAAACAAAAATATTAATAATCCCCGTTTTAAGATCAGCAAAACGCCCAAGATACTCTTTTTGGGTCAAATCGATCTGCACAATTTTGACCAACGAATTTATTCTTAATCTTAATCAGGTAATCTATGTGCTATGATTCGAGTAGATATTAGATTCTTACAGATGCGAGTTATATATATAGGTTTTTCTTATTTTTGTGGTGGCTTGTGATTTATTTAAATGTTAACCAAAAAGTAAAGAGTAAATGATTTCGTGATTTATTAGGATTTATTACTTGACGAATGTATGGGTTGGCTTATTGCTTTTAGATTGACATTTAATTGGGCTTATTGTTTCTTAAATTGAAATTTTAATGTTTTGATCGATTGCCTTTTAGGCATAAATTATTTGACGCAAAAATGAGATTCAAATTTGACCAAAGACGTCATTTCGGAATATCAAAGATTAACCACATTGCGAATACTAATGCTCGCCGATTTTCGTAGTCGTATGATCATTCTTACGTTACGTTAAACAATAACTTTATTAGTAAATCTCTAAACATATTTTTATTCTTAAACTAGGAAATGGAAACCATTTGAAGTCCTGAGCGAAATTTTTTGTTTTTTTTTATTTACTGATCTTATCGTACACGCGGCGTGACAAACGGAAATACTCACGTATTATAAAATTTTCACACTATTTCCTAAAAGTATAAGGTCCTGCGCTTCGCTCCGGACAATCACTGAACATTTACTAACTAAACGAATAAAAATACCCAATCTTTCATTAGTTTACCCATTGATTAACTTAATTAATATCAAATAAAAATATGTATCTCAAAACATAAATATTATAATTAATCTCGTATTATCATTTACACCAAACAAATCATTTTTATTTATTCTACTATATTTCTTTATTCCCCGTATTACTGTCTGTATCATGCTCGTATCACCTTCCCCGTGGGTACCGGATGAAAATTTACTGGCTATTTTGTGATTAAAAAATCAATATGATTATTTTCATTTAACTTTCAACAAATTTTGATTGATAAAATTAAGCCATCAAATAGGAAATTTGTCTCAGAATTCATTTTATAGAAATTTCGCGATATAAAAAATAAAAAAGAGTTTAACATAGACAGAAAAGTATGTTTATAAATTTGGAATGTTAAATAAGGAATTTTCAAAAAAATGTGAGTTGTCAAAGTGATATGCTTGTCCCTTTTTTTTCTGTAAGTTAAATTAGTTGCTCGAGACATTTTAGGATGAAACCCAAAGTTTAGTTAAAAATGAAATTTATAAAGGAGTAAGATATGTTAAGTCATCAATTTTAACTAAAACTAGGTAATGGGAACCGTTGGAGCGTTCAAAGCATTATATTAATCACAAAAAAAAAATGGAAATCGGGGTATTTTTATCAAATGATGCATTCACGAATTTTATACACGAAGAAACAGGTTATGTAACACAAAATCAACAACACGTGCTCAAATCTGATTCATCAATCAACATACGACATTGCATTTGAAGGAAAATATTGAAAAGTTACATAAATAGAAAGGTTAAATTTAAAGTCTTTATTTAAAGAAACATTCATAAAAAATTTGGTTCGTTAAGAAAAAAAAATTATTACATTTATTTAATAGTTACATTTGAGATAATGTTCAGCTTAATATATAAATTAAAAAAATCTTTTGTTAAAAAAAATTTGATAACTGGCATGTAACAATGCACAGATCTCAAAGTCACAAAAAAACCCCATACCACGAGGAGGAATCTTATTTTAAAATGGTCAAGTATTATATTACTAGGGGATGGTAACCGTTCTAGTCCGAAGCATAATTTCAGAATTGCATTTGATAATCCTTCGGCAAATGAAATAATCATGCAGGTCAGAAAAAACATGCATTAAAATTATTTATATTGATATTTCAAATTCATGTCATCACATATCACATACATTGATGCAATAAATGTGATGATATGAATTTGAAATATCAATATAAATAATTTAATGGATAGATGAGTATATGTTTTTTTTTCCTGATTATAAACCGGTTTGACAACGTGGAACGTATAAGACGCCTCATCGTTTCACAACAACATTTGCAATTTAGATTGTTAAGTTGAAATTTCACTATTGTTTTGTTATATCACAAGAAATCCAATTTGATTGGTCACGATAGAATATTTTAATTAAATTAATTTTTTTTTTATTTACACATTATCAATTTGGATATTGAAAATCCCTTTTATTTCATCCTCTTTTTTTTTTTTTTTGTAAAAAAAAAAGTTAAAAAAAATCATGTATTGGAAATATCACAGTTGGAATGATATGACAATATAAATATTATACTAAAAAAATAAAAATTTTTATTTTTTTTTTGAATCCCCTATTTAATTAATATAAACAATAACTTTATCTAAGTCTAAAAGGTTTAATTGGTCTAATTTATATTAGTATTATAATTTGTGATATATAATTTGTGATATATTATTTAATTTGAGACATTGACGGAGACATTGACGACCGAACGTAAAAAGAAAACTTTTTTTAAATATAAATACATGCCAAATTTACGTCAAAAAAAAAAATTTATTACCTATAAAAATCCCAACATTAATTCAATAACATATTAATCATAAAGTCAAAAATAAAAATCTAAAATGTATCAAAATCCATCAGAAAAATTTGGAATCCAGCCAGAACAATCATCGGATATTTTTTGCAGTGGAAACGTTGCCTATGACATTTCTACAAGAGATAATAATTTTAATAATCATCCAATACATTACACATCTGAGCCAATTGCAACTAATAATAACGATCAGTATTATTCTACGGCCTCTTTTGCATCTGAATCAACATCTCACACTTCACAATTTATCGGTCATAATGCTAATGAGCAACAGATTTTAGAACAGAACTCACCAAGTATCTTTCCCCCACATAATAATCCTCCAGCTCATTCACCTAGCATGAATAATGCTAGCTCTTCCCAAATACAAACGGTTAAAATTCTCGGTTATGAAATTATTATTATCCCCATATCATCTCCGTTGGCAAGTTTAATCAGTTTAGACGTGCAGCATCAACTTCAACAAGGCGATACTTATTTGGATTATTCTTCTTATTCGGTTAATCCAACACAATTAAATCAAGAACAGGATTATTCATTTGCAACAAATGGATACGATCCAACTTTGCGATACCCATCTCACGCGCCGCAGTCGAACGCTAGTGATCAGATTTACCTACCTAACTCTCCTCAAATACAAACGGTTGAAATTTCCGGGTATAAAATTATTATAATCCCCACATCCTCTCCATTAACAAGTTCAACCAATTTAGACATGAATCAACAATTTCAACAAGGCAATACTTACGTGGATTATTCTCGTTCGGTTAACCCACCACAATTAATTCAACAACAACACTATTTTTCTAGTGTAGGTGAAACTTCTATTAACGAAAATGTTATTAACGCTCATATTCACGTTTCAGATAATACACAGCCCCAATTTCAACAATAAAACTATTTAGGATTAAGTGAATCGCTTAATAGCTTCAACAACTTTTTTGGCTGATATCACATTTTAACTCTTTTTTTTATTTATTTTTTCAATCATGTTTTATTTATTATTTATTTGACGATGTAAGATTTATTACTTATAAATAAAGTTTGACCTTTAAAAATTACCTCCGGATAGTACATGAAAAAAAAAAAATCTCACCGAGTTGAAATACGTTTTTGATTTTATTTTAGCACAGAAAAAAAAACAGAATATTATTTTTTTTTTTATTTTCTTTATAAAAAAAAAAAAAATAAATAATTTTAATTAAAATTTAATGTTGATAAATTTTAATTTCGGTTATATAATGGATTTGTCCGTTCCATTAGTAAATAATCAGCATTGTTTTATATTTTCCGATTTAACTTAACATAATGCCTTTAATCTCATCTTAATAATTTATGAGGTAAGAAACGAAATTATCGAAGCCTTCTTTGCATTTATTTTTTAGCAGTTTTTCCAAAACAAACAAGAAAAAGCTTAAACACACATTAATTATATGATTTGAGATGTAAAAGAGTACGTTGACAAAAACAAACCATTTTTAAAGCAAAATTTTGCACAGAAAAAAATATAGTGAGTTTCATCAACAAATATAAAAAAATCTTAATTATCGGACTTTTCAAATCATTATTCAGAGGTAAGTCATAATAAAAAATTCGTTAAAATTTACCTTTTTGTAGATACCGGATTCTTCAAGCATTGGAACGTTCGGAGGCAAGTCCTATGAAAAAATTGTTTTTTTTTTTTTTAAAAGAAATCAATTAATTAACTACCATTACCCTTTTCTAGATACAGGAATCCTCATGCATTGGATTATTCATAGGTAAGTCCAATTAAAATAATTAAAAAAAAATTTAAATTTATAATACCCGTTTTATATAATATCCTGTTTTATATAATATCCTACCATCTAAATTACCCTTCACCTTACAAAGTTATTCAATTTTTTTTTGTATAAGACCCAGGGTATATGCAGTGCTAGACAAAAAAAAAATGATGACACAATCCATTAATTTACAGAAAAAAAATCTTGCAATAACAATCTTTCGATATAACAGATTATTTACTAATGGAACGAACGGACAATCCATTATATCAAACCCAAATTAACCTTAATTTTAATGAAAATTATTTTTTTTTAAAAAAAAAAATAATAATAATATTCTAAGCATATGAGCGGAAATCTAAATTTTGATAAAATTTTATTTTTGTTGGTCCATTTGACTGATCACAGTCATGTGCTCAAAATTGACTTAGAAACTAAAAATAGCATTCGATATTTTTCTTAATAGTGAAGTTTTAATTAATATAATGCACCTTTAATTTCCCGAAACTATCATTTTCTTCCTTTAATATTATAGGTACTATTTTATGATAGTTAATGTAAAAAAAAAAAAATAATTTAATCATTTAAGAGGTAAAAGATGTTTTGCGATACAACCATATTAAACTTCTAGTTCTAAAAAAAATTTTCCTCATTAAATTTTATCAAAAATTTTTTAATTTATTAATTTTAATACTGTATAATCAAATGTTATGAAACCAAATATATTAAATGATATGAATATAAATAACTTATTTACATAAAGATCGTTCCCGTGACAGTCTCGTGATGTTATGAATTTAGAAACAGAAAATTTTAACTATTAAAAATATTTTAACTTATTAATATTATATATTAATCAACAATGACAATGATAATTTGATAATAACTGGATATATCGATAAATTAGTTATACAAACGTGGAAATTCTAAGAATTTTAGTTTTATTGTGAAAATGCGGAGTTTTTAAACAATCGAGCAAACTTATAGGCACTTTTAAATTTATTTTTCAGGAACAAATTACCAAGCATTTCTTTTATTAGGATATAATTTCAAATTATGTTTGCGATGATGAATAGTCCATCCAACATTTTTCAAGTGTCAAAATATGGACTCATATGCATGTTATCAGGCATCGACAGACGCAATCCGTTCTGCGCAGTTTATCGATGAACGTTTTGACACTTTATCCATAAGGTATTTTAAGTTGCTCAATGTCAAAATTATGACTTTCAAGCATACGACGACAAAATTTGGGGAGAAGAAAGTTGTCCAGAAAGTCATCCAGGTCTTTCCCAGTAGCTAGGAATGACGCCACCCCATATATCTCAAACAACCTACATCTATTATGTTGAACTTCAATCCTAAAGCGCTTAGGAAGTCTAGAACACTTTGAACTAATATAGGGTTTTAGTAATTGTCTTGACCCTCCCGAGTCTTTTGTTTAGTGACGTTTATGTAATAATCATGAAAATGACAAATCAATCAACGTGGCATAATAATTAATAATAATTATCATATTATTAAAAAAATATTGAGCATGGACGCAGTATTGAAACTTGAATATGAACAAATCTAATTACACGACATGAATATTCACTCGCAAACTTTTATAAAAATGCATATATTAAATATTTTGTGTTGAAAATTCAAAGGCGCAGCACTGTATCTTAATATTGTGTAACCGAAATATCACATTCCATTAAAAGGGAGATAAGGAATGAAAATTTAACGCATTATCTTGCCGAATACTAGTGATAACATTGCTGACTCAGTTCTCTGACTCAGTTCTTTCTCGTATGAAATTGAATGGATATGAATGCATGGTTTTTCATCTTTGTATAAACATTAGACTTTCTTTGTGAGAACAGATTATCTTGTATTTTGATATACAAAGATATACAATGTTGAACAAATATATATATTTTACAAAGAATCTAAGTTGATAATGTGGTTAATGAAAGATAAAGTTCGTATTATTTTCTTATCACTACAGAAGAACTCAGGGTTTTGTATTAAATCTGATCGTGCAATTTTTTTTTAAGAACCTTGTATTCGTTATTATTATGTTTGATGTGAGAGGTGAATTTATAAGTTCAAATTTATAAGATGCATTACATGGTGTGTTTGTTTGACAAAGTATCATCCTGTGAAAGATCAATTTATATAATTTATATATACAGTCGTCCCTCTCTATAGTCACCCTCTGCACAATCACATCATATAAATCCCTCATTATAAGCTAACATTTCGTAAGAACCATTACCTATTAATGCTATATATAAAACCCCCTTTATAATCACAGTGTTTTTATAGTCACACCCTTCCAGAACCAACACTTAGTAGCAACATATAAAAATCCCTCTGTATAGTAACTTTTTATTATAATCACACTTTTTATTTTTAGTCCTGAGGTGTGTGACTATAAAGGGGGACGACTGTAGTAAAAACCAGATTACCGTTCTTTTTTTCTATTTCTTCTTCCCCGGCGGTTTCGATTGGTAAAGATTTCAAATATATAATGTCACATGACAACAAATATAATAATAATCAACGCCCAACCCAATAAAAAGAAACTTTTTAGACTTATCACGAATAATATTCTTATCTTTATGATACGATTTTGATCGATCATAGTCGAAGTATTAGTCGAAAGAACAACGAACAATATAATAAATACTTGGAAGCAAATTCATGAAGTTCTGAATAAGAATATTCTTTCAAAATATTACCATTTTAATTGGATTACATAATTTCGGGGAGGCCAGAAATCACGTGTTTAGTGAAGGGAATCCTATTGATCACGTCCTATAAATAGTAATTTTATATTTTGTTTTATATCATACATTAAAAAATATGAATTGTAGAACCACCGCACTTTTTTTTAAAAAAAACATTAAAAATATGAATGATTATTTATATGCGTCAAATTTATTATAAATTTTAATTTTTCTTGCATTTTGAAAATCAAAACTATTTCTCCAAATGGAAGATTGCAAGAGGGGGAGGGGCTATATCAGCACTTAAACACGTGATTTATGGCCTCCCCTTACATAATCCACCTGTCACTTTTTGGAGTAACGTGCGAATTATTATAATTTTCGAGTCAAAATTAAAAATTCAAGCCTAGATACAACTTTATTTATTACAGTAAGAGTAATTGCAAAATGAGCGAAATATTATATGCCTTCAAGAGGAGTACGCAAATTCTAAGCGTCATATTATTATTTCCTTGCTCTCCCACATTTCCAGAAATTTTCCACAGCTAATTTGTTTCTATCTACAGTATATCGTTAATATAGTTAATTAAAAATTCTTACATCCTTTTTATAAATATAAATTATCCTATTTTACTTTGACCAGTATCTACAAAATTTTCGCCTATATATATTTTAAGGATGAAGTTTTTCCGAGAAGAATTTCAGATCTGTAATACAAATTTCGCAATACTTCTGATTCACTCAACGTTATTTCATTCTCATAATATTCAAGTCCTTCTTATGTCTGAACAAATTATTGTGTGTACTTTTTTTAGTAGAAACTCTTAGCCGATTTTTTGTATGACGCATATTTTTGTTGTAACAAAAATCAGCAAAGACTTATTGACCAGAGGTATAAGTTTATCATTTGGACTAATCAAACCCGATTACAATGTTCCAACTAAATAAAAAATTTTTATTGTAAATAAATAAATATAATAAATATATATATATTGCAAATATATAAATTTTTATTAGAAAATAACTTTTTTTTGGACAAATAATTTATCTATTTTCTTGATTAAATCGCTTAATCAAAACTGAAAATCGAATAAATGATGCGAATTCGAAAAGCTTACATCCTTTTTGCAAAAAAATATTCACAGTGTGATGATAATTCTTCATCATTGGACGTTAAATCATAATCCATTTATGGACTGATATTCCTGATAATTTCGAAGGGTTAAAAGACGGTCTTGAATAAGTTATTTTTGGACCTTGTTCAATGGTGTAGAATGTAACTGTTCCTCGTAAGATCGCTTTTGTCCTGTTACAAGTTCTAATCCTTAATATTTACACGTAACTCATCTAACAAATCATTTTCAATCTAGTTTCTCATAGTAAATGATCTTAGTTTCAGATATCTTTCATTGCTTCCAGAATCCGTCAGGTCTAAAATGGACTTTCAGATACCAACATTAAGGTCAAGTGTAATAATGTTTAAATTAAAAATAACTAACCTGATCGATATGAATCTGGCTTTTAATTCGCTCTTGCCAGATTAAATCTTATATTGTTAGAAAGTGGATCAAAACAACAAGCTATTAAATTTTGGAAATAAAGCAACTTACTTGTTACAACTGAGCTTTCTCCTCAAGTATCTTGATCTCAAAATGAATGGCTTATCTCTTTGTTTGTAAATCCAAAAAAGGAATTAATGATTACGATTTTTATCAAGCTTGTTATAGAAAAAATCTTTAAGTAAACATTTGAACAGCTTGAACAACGGACAAACATGCAGTATTTCTTTTGTATTGTAAGGTAATCAGTAACAGCCCACTAAATTACAGCTTACTGCATACTCACCAACTGATCACAGTCTTTTTCCACTGCCAACCGCAAATAACAGGGTAGTTGGTGACGGAACTTATGCAACCCAGGCTGTTTAACCAATCAAAAAAATCGCTTATTTTAAATGAATTAACCAGCTTTGTTACTTTTTTTAATCTTGAACGTTTCAGAATAATATCTTTTGATTGTTTCCAATTCACTTTTGTACTGACTATACTACGCAATATTTCTTTTTATAAAAATGATTTTCAATTCTAAGAAAAATTTGAAACCATTTCTTAACATTAAAAAAATAAATTTTCAGTCTTTCTAATTGAATAATAATTTATCATCTAAAATAATAATAAATCATTCTAATTAAATGATAATAAATTATTCAGATTGAATATAATAATCATTTAAGAATAAATCATTTAAAAGAACAATAATGCATTTTTTTAATTGAATAATAATAAATCATTAAAGATATATGTGATAATATATCATTCAATATAAATAATAATAAATAATCAATTTAAATTTAAATTTAAATCTGAATTTGAATTTGATAAATCAATCTGATTTAAATTTAAATCTGATAAATCTGATCTGAATTTATGTGAAATACTAGTTAAAATATAATCTAATTATATCTTTTTATCTTTTTTAATCTCTTGATTTTTTTATTTTTGTGTTAGTTTTTTTAAATGCTATATTATATATCAAGAAATATTTCTTATATTATTAACTGTTTGATTTGATTTGAGTTTATTCTTGTAATTCTTGCATTATTAACTGTCTAGCTTATTTTAAGTATATTCAGTAATATTTTATAAAATTTGTTATTATAATTAACAAATTATAGATTATATATTATTTTTTAAAAAACTTCCTGATATTTAAAATATAATAACTTTGCTTTCTATAATTAAATTCCTATTATCTTAAATTTATTTAAAAGAGTATTTAAGAGCTTTTTAATAATATTAAAACTATATAAATCAGATAACTAGATGATAAGTTATTATATTTAAAAGCCTAAATTTTAAAATATATATGGAAGTTTTCTAAAAAATAATTTAACTAAAATTTAGGTCTTATTATACTTTAATTTAATAACATCCAAAATAAAATATGAATCTAATTTTTCTAGTAATCTATTATATATATATTGCAATATAATTATATTCCTATTACAATCACATTATATTTGCATTATATTTTTATTATTTAACTGTTTGATGTAATAAATCAAATAAAGCAGTTTAGTAAATTATTTTTTCTGATATATTAATAATTCAAATATAGTACTTTATATTTATAACTTAAAATTAATTAGGATAAATTGCAATACAAGTTTTAATATAAAAGAAAAATATCTTTTTTTATACAAAATACTATAATTATTTTTTTATCTAATAAATTTTAATTGATAATTATTTTTATAAATTTCCATTAAAATAATAACTCATTTCTTAAGTTATTTTCCAATTTTTGATTAAATCTAGAATTAAGAAATTATATATAAAATACTAGCAATTAATTAATTCTAAAAATGCAAAATTATAATAATCATTATTAAAATAATTAAAATAGATCATTTATCTTAGAATTCAAAATGAGTTTAATAGTAATATAATGAGAATTATTCATAGACAAAAAGGTATATTTATATATAGTTTGATATAATAGTTTTAAACAAATATTTTTTTGCAATAATTCTGCAACTATTGTGCTAAATTACATGATAAAATATTCAGTTTAAAAGCAGAAGATTTTGTTAAAAATTTAATAAGAAATAACATTTCCAATATTTTCTATATAATATTCTGAGAATATTAATTATTTCTTCTTCATAAAACTTAATATTTATAGCTATTATTTCTCTTAACCATAGCCTATAAATTTTCAAATTAGAACTATAAGAAGGTTAATTCATAGCATATAAAATTTAAATACATAGCTCATATTATATATGAAACTAAAATTAAAATAGTTAAAATAATTATAATAGTCAAATGATTAAAATTGATTTTGACTATTTGTTAAAAAATTTGAAAAATCAAAATTAATTATAATGTTCAAATCAATTACAATAGTCAAAATTAATTATAATAATCAAAATCAATTATGATGATTGAAATCAATTATAATAGTTAAAATCAATTATGATAGTCAAAATCAATTATGATGGTTAAAATCTCAAAATGCATTATGATGATCAAATCAATTATTATAGTGAAATCAATTATAATATTTAAATAATTGATAATTATATTTATTTATTAATTTAAATTATTAATTTTAAATTTCATTATAAAATGATTTTTTTAAATAATAAATTATAGAATATCTATTCTTTAGTACATTTAAATTAAAATATTTTAAAAGAACAGATCTTAATAAAATTATAAAATCACATTTAATTACTATTATAATACCTATTTTATTTAAAACCAAATCTTCTTCTTCAAAATCACTAAATACTACTATTACACAAAAAATATATTTACAATCGTTATTATTTTTATAGAGATCTATAATTCTTTGTCTTACTAAATTTAATTTATTTTTTTTTTCAGATATACTTAATTTATAGAAAAACTTTTAAAAATGATAAATTTGTTTTAATATCTAAAAATCGATATTAAATTTATTATATAATTCAGAAAAATTAATTTTAATTAAATTTTTAATTAAAAATTCTAAATTTATAATTAATAGAAATAATGTATCATTTAAATAAAGATAAATTCAAATATTTTTTCAGATTTTACATATTGAAAATATTTTTTTTTATATTTACTATTATATTAAATTTAATAATATCTTTAAAAAAATTATATAGATTCTTATTTTTTCTTTTAATTTAGTTAAAATTAAAAATATAATCTTATATATAATTATATATAAATTTGATTACATAATAATATTTTTCTTCAAGAATAGGTAATAATTTTTTTTTATGTTTCTACATTATTATATATTCTCTATAATAAATAGGTATAACAAGAATTATTTTAAAAAAATTTTTTAATTATATCTTTAAAATTATTTATCATATAATTCAGTTATATTAAGTTTTTAAAATAATTGATTTTTTTTATTTAAAAAAAACTTTTTTATCAAAAAAGTTTTTATAATTAAACCTAATACATAATTCATTATTTATTAATTAGTAATAAAACAATTTTTTGAATTATTTATTTTAAAATAATTATTAATTAGATATTTATTAATATCATGATTATATTTTTTAATTAAATTTTGTATATTATTTTCAATATTTAAGGGAATTATATAATCAATATCTAATTCTTTAACTTTTTAATTATATTTTTTTATACTTTTTGATTATTTTTATTTATAAAAATAGATATTGAGATAGAGATAGATGTAATGTAAAGAGTGTAAAAATTAAAATAAAAGCAGAAATAAAAAGAGAGATTGAAATAAAGAAAGTAATAAAAGTAGAGATAAAAATAGAAGTAAAAAGTTCATTTAAATTACCATTATCACATGAAGATATTATTTTTATTTATTTATTAAATAAAGATTCTATTAAAAAGTACAAATAATTTGAAATTATTCTAGTTTTTGTAAAAGTTAAAGAAGATTTATTTTTTTTTAATTTTAATTAATTGAGTAGTTATAATATTTATTCTTTTTTTAAAAAAATTTGTTTAAAAGAAACAATATAAAATTATAGCTTTATCTCACTATAAATTATATAAAGAAAAAAATAAATATGTTAAATTATTAAACTATTAAATATAAGATTTAGCTTTATCTCACTAAAAATTGTATCTATTTATAGAAAAATAGAGCTTGCATAGGAGAAATAATCTGACTCTAAAATTATATAAAGATTATTCTTATACTTTGGGTTCTATTCAAATTAAATAAATAAAATTATAATTTATGATTAAAAATACTTTAAATAAAATTTTTTTGAAAAATTGGTTTTACTATTTTAGTATAATAATTAATAAATTGTATTACGACAACTTAAAATTCTACAAAAAAAAATATTTGATATTATGATAACTTATAAATGTGCTTACTAGCAAAAATTCTAAAAAAAAATGATCTTATCAATATTATAATAACCTAAAAAATGCATTACTAACCTAAATTATTAAATTATTAATTAAATAAATTAATTAAATTAAATAGCTGTTTGATTTTATTAATTCATTTTTCTTTTTATAGGTAATTTTTAATTCTTTGATAAGCAATTAGTTTAATTTATTTTATTTTTCTATTTTGTTCTTTTTATATTTTTAAAAAATTCTAATATTTCTATTCTTATTAATTTATTTTTCTTTTTATAGATAGTCTTCAGTTTATTTTTTCATTTTGTTTTTTTTGTTTTTTTTAAAAAATTTTAATACATTTTTACTCTTAACTTTTTTAGTATTCACTTTTTAAACTCTTTTGACTTAATTCTTTAGACAGTATTATACATAGACAATATTTAATATTATTCGCATTTGTCATTATTAATTATCATACAGATACATCTGTCTAATTTTAGAAATGATCTGGAACATTTTTCACATTTCAGATATTTTTTTATTTTTTAAAAAATATTTTTTATGTTTTAAATAATATATATATAAAAAATCTAAATATTTTAAAAAAAAAAATCTTTTTTTGCATTTCAAAAGTTCGTAATATTATAACTTAAAAAATATAAAAAAATAATATTTACTAGAAATAATCCATTTCAGCTAACCAATTTTAGGCATTAAGTTTTTGATTAAATTTATTATACCAAATTTTATAATTATATTTAACATTTGATAATTTATTATATTTGTTTTTATATTTAAATTTTTATTTATTATTATTATATAAATTTACACAAAATAAAAATAATAAAATTATTTAAAAGATAAATTCTAAAACAAATATTATATGTAGATTTATAAAAGACTTGTTTTTCTAAAATGAAGATTTCAAACTTAAAAAAAAAAAGTAAGTTAGATGAAATGGAGATAGTATAATAAATAATTAAAAAATACTGATCTATTCTTTTTAAAATATAAATTTTGAATTTAAAAAAAAAAGTAAGTTAATAAATAAAGTAAAGTAGTGTGATGAATTTTAAAAAACT